TCTAATGGAGGGAAAACGAAGTCCAGAGATCTTCAGTATCTGCCCAAGGTCACACAGTGACCTGGGACATAATGAAAGGCCAGGGCTCCTGAATCCCTCAGCTAGCCTCCCATCCCAGCATCTTGGGCCATATCAACTGTCCTTCAAGCATCAACTTGAGGGACAGTGTGAACAAATAATAGTTAATAGGAGAGAACTAGAAGTCTTGACCATTGTTATTTATTGAACTTTACAAAAATATACACATGGACTGAAATAGTAATTTGGTGGATACTAAGAGGAAACCAGCATTTCAATTACTTTTAGCTCCATTTTAATAACAATTTTCACAAGGCTAGTTTTACAACTATGAAGGTACGAAGTAAATCAGAGGATAAGAAAATGTTTCAGCATTTTTATAAATTTGATAAAATAATCTTAGATTGGACCAAATTTTATTCACCAATTATTTAGTTCAATTGACTGCATGCTTAACATGATAACAAGGTAAAATTAGGCCAGAAATGTAAAATATCTGTATTGCTTCTGAAAAAATGTTAACCTAAGTCATTAATCATATATAATTCGTTCTTTTAATGAGTTAAATAACACTGGAGTTATAATTTGATAAGAAAGCTTCCGTATCTGCCTTGATGAAGTTTCAGCTAAAGTGCTTTACAATATATATGATTTTCCAATTGAAGACAAACATGAATCTTGAGTCAAGAATGCTTTTATAAGTTAAGCATTGCACAGGTCAATTTTACATGCATATACTTTATAATAAATTGATAGTCTTTTCTCCCAAAGAGCTTAACTTAAGTGCGTGTTTGAGGCACGGGACTAGGTTTTACTAGCAATGTGTTACGATCGAAGCTTTACTTCCTATCACTGTAAACGTGTTTTCACTTAGTTCTCATTTACTGGCCATCTAGGTGATGGCTTTGCTTTACTGCCTTTACTTGAAGTGTTTCCAGAAGTTTGTAAAAGAAGACTAGGCCTGTCTCAGGTCAATTCTAAACCTCTCGGTAGGGGGTGCTTGCCAGCCGAGAATCTAGGAAGAAATGAGGAGGCACACCAACAGACTAAGGAGTTTAAGGCAGAAGTGAAGGGAATTCTGAATGAATCAAGGCCATTATGACTCCCAAAGCGGGTTGTATCATTATGATACCGGAATTACCTTCAGCTAGGGATCTAAGGTTTTCATGAAACCAAAAGTCTGTCTTCTGGACCTTCAGAGAGAGAAGGAGAGAGAGTTCAGCCCACCTACCGTGCTGTGTCATTTTAACTTAGTTCCAAGTGGATTTCCAGTGTTTGCTAAAGTGCAGTGTAAGTTCCAGTTTTTCAAAGATGAATTTAAGTAAGAAATTTAAGTGGACAATGATAATATTTTCTGTGATTAAGATGGCTTTATATGAAAAACATGCCGTGTGTTCTTTAAAAATATGCTTTTATAGGAGTTGTGCATTTGTTTTGAAACTGGGTTTCTAGTACTTGCTTAGAGATTCCGTATCAAATACCCGAAACAAACATAAACTATACAATTTTAAAAGTTTACATTTTAAAAT